GAAATTAAACGGCATAATGAAGTTTCGATATTGCAAGCGTTCTGTGTGTTCAGAAATTGCCTACTAAGTTTAAAATTCAATTTTTTAAAGATAGATTCTATTGTTAGGTAGAAATTTAATCAAGAGTTCTTCCTTTGTATTTGATTGACTTTATTTTTCAAGGAAAATGTCCCTTTTTTCCATCTAAGTTTCTACTTTTGAGCTGTTTGATTAACATTTTTTTCAATAAAAATATTTTCCAAAAGTTGGTCACGTGACTATATTTTTCTCAAAAATAAAGAAAACATTTTCTTTATGGAGTGGTAGGTTTTTATTTTCCAAATAATTCACTCTTACTTTCATCTGTCTACCAATAAAAGATGGACAAGTATAAAAAAATTTGGGTAAAAAATTAAATTAATCAAATACGTTTAATTATAATTTCTATGCAAATAAGTTGTAGACAATTCAATTGCTTAGAATTTATTTTCTTTCTATACTTGCAATTAAACACACCCTCAGTGAAACTATCTCTCTCTTTTAAAATGTTCAATAGAAATAATTTGTTGAGATTATAATCTCTGATTTTTAGGGACACGAATACTTGTTTGAAGCATTGAGAGATAAACTGATGATCTGGGCTTCTCTTTTTATTATTTGTTGTTGTTGCAGCAAATTACCTTGAAAAGTAGACCTTCTAACTAATTGGTTAAACTTAAGTAATTCTGGAGTTCTATAGGCGTCGGAAAATTAACCTACTAGTAGTTACTACTTAATTGTTATTATAATAGTTGATGTACTATGCTTCTTTCCATTCTTTGAACAAGTTTTAGATTTCAAGGAGACAATTGTATTTGTAAATACTGAAGCTAATATTCTGGTTATAATATATATACACACACGATATTTCGAAAATTTCGCCTAACAATATCAAGTTTGGTAGCCGTCAGATATTTAGTGGGTCCCAATGAAAATCTTGGGTGAGGTGGAGATCGGTTTACTGCAAGGATAGGTACAATTTCGAATGGATTCTTTTACAGCACGTTATGTAGCTGCAGAGGAGTTCTAAGTGCTCTGGAACTTGTTCGAGGAAGTCCAACTCAAAGAGGAGTCATCAACTGCCCAAAACTATCACTTTTCTATTTCACTTGTGTTCCATTCCATCAGTCAGCCTTTTCAAGTATATATCCCTGTAAATGTATCTATCTACGTTTTTTGAGGATGTCTGTTTGAAATTTTGTCTTGACTGATGAATATTATCTTCATGATAACATGTTCGATAAAATGCACGGTTGTAAATTCTATCTTCTTTCAGTTCGAGTCCTGGTTAGTGGCTACTCTATTAGCTGCAGACGTGCAAGTTCCCCTTTTTCTTTTTTCCTTTTTTGCTTGAATTGAATGGTGTTCCAATTATAAGCATGCATTTGTTTTAGTGAATAAATATTGATTCACCTTATAGATGAAGATATTAATGGTTATTCTGATTTCGCCATTTCGGAGTCTTGTTGTAATTGATTTAACTGTTGTGTTGAAATGTTTGGTCAGTAGAGATATTACTATGGATTCCCCTTTTCCTATGGTACTATAATTCATGTTCCATTCATTAACTCTTTGGTCTATCTACATTCCCTGAAATTCACAATCTCCCCAGAGAGCAAAAAGTGGAGTCTTGGTAAGCGCAAGCTGTTCTATTCTATTACCAGTTTTATAAGCATGTTTGGTATGGTTTCTGCTTTTCTTTCCTATAAAAGCTCTTGACAAAATACTTCTAAAAAATTATTCAAACATATTTAAAAGCGGCTTATTAATCTCAGAAGCTATTTTTGACTTTTCAGAAGCCTTGCCTCACGGGCCCCATGTCTGATCGATTCACTGCATGGTGATAAAACTACTCTGTTCACTATAAATGAATTTAGTTCCTGGATTTTCTTTTGTGGAAACTTGTTTCTAACTGAATAATGAAGATTTCATCAAATCAACTTGTAGTTGGAACTAGGAACTGGTGGAGCACCATTATGTCATCAATTTACTTAAGCTTTACTACTACCTTGACACACCTTAATTAATGTGGATTACAATCAAATAATTCCATGAACACATACTTCTGAGTAGTTTACGAATGCAATTTGATGCTACTTGCTTTCTTATTCAGGAATAGATGGCAACAGTTGCAAACAGCCATCAGTTGTATTGTAGAGAAAATAATTTTTTGATTGAAAAAGGCAACAGACAAAACAAGAAATGGCACGTTATTAGATGTCGTCAGTCCACCAATGAAACGAAAAGGTAACAATGAATATATTCTAGACTTCATGGCGCATGATGCATCCGTTCTTCTCGGGAAACTCAAGCTCTCGCTTACTCAACGAAAGGGAATACATGCACAAGCATAAGATCATTGAGCTCTGCTGAGAAGCATCTGGAATCTTTAGATACTTTTCTTAGAAAAGTCCATAATGATGCCAATGAAGGTATAGAATTAACTTTCCGCAGATGAGCTTTGTGATAATTGAAGTTGCAATTGTTTGGAATTATGCACTGAAGAGAATTACCTGAGAATGAAATATTAGCTAAATGCATCTGCAGTCGTAACTCTATTTATCTAAGTTTGAACTATCTCGTAAATACTAGAAGACATGTGAATACATGTTTACACCCAAATATTATCTCTTGCATGAAGGAATAGTCGTTAGTCGGGGTACATATTATTTGTTTCATTAAGTTGTTTTTTTCCACACTTTCTCCTTTTCTGATTTATGGTATATTAGATTTATTACGAAGTTTTGTACTTTACAAGTTATAGCCCACATGCACACATTTAACATGTATCTGTAGCAGTACAAAGGCATTAATTTCACTGCTCCTTTTTTGTGCTCCTATGGCCACTTAAATCAAGATTGTGAACTGAGTTAAACCTTACAAAACAATATGAACTCTAGGTTATAAAGTGGGATTCATTCCTCTTCATATTTAAGATATTTTTACTTTTATGAAATTTTATTATTTCCAGCACTCAGGAATCTTTCACATAGCCCTTGGTAGCTGGTTTCTCTTCACTTTTGGGCTTGAAGTATCTCAGAAATATGGTTCATTTACATTTTTCTTGATCTTTATTCTTGGAGGATTCGTTGATCAGCTTTCTGCACACACCAGAGCCAACTGTTGGTGGAACGGTATGATGCTGCATGTTACACAATACATAATTGTCAATTAATTTCGTAAATCTCGTTTTTTTAATTTCTGTAAATCTAGGCGTGCCTAGAGTGTGCTTGAAGTTCGCATCATGGCTGACTATCATCAAACCAAATAAATATGCATAGCTCGTTCGTCTCAAATTCTTTCTTTATGATCTTTATGCAATGTATAGCTACTGTTTAATCAGTTTATTCTTGCTTAGGGACCTGCATTTGCTTTAATCGGAGCTTGGCTAATTTATCAAGTTCAGAACATTCATTTAGTTACAATCATTTACATCTGTTATTATCCATCTGTGAGATGTATAATTTTTGAAATTGATCTCACAAAGCAGTATTTCCTAAAATTAGAAATAGTAGATGATATATGTAATGGTAGTTAGAACTAACACTTTCACAAGGTCACCAATGGTAAAATTATTTGTAATATTGTCATTGTTAGCTCCATGTTCAATTTGAATGATGAAGTTATTGCACATATTTGTCACAGTGCTATCATGACCAACCATAATATTTTGAATGACTGCCCATGTGTTTTTTGTATATGAGTGTGTTCATTACGATTTTGTGACATGTTACGAATGACAGATAGTAAGAACTAAAAGCATCATTTTTTTATATCTTCTTGGTCCTCGATCTTCCAATTCTTGCTTCCACCCCTCCTCCAATCATCTACATTAGGTCTGAATCAACTATTAGCACTTTGCGATTTAGTTCCCGAACTTTGGATTAAGCCCACTTTAGCCAATTTTTCGCTCATTTTGTCTAATTCCATCGTTTTTTTCTCGATTTGCACCTAACAAACGAAAGATGTATAAAATTAAGCATCAATCATCCAAAAAAACAATAATTGCTCTAATTTAATGATTGTGGTTAGTATAAAATGCAGCTAACTCTTTCAAAAATCACTAATGGAACTCTGTTGTTCAAGGCCTGCAGCCACTGCTAAACCTGATGGACATGCTTCCACTATCACAGGGCCGCTTACCCGTTCACGATGGCCAAAGAAAGAATTTTGCATTATCAAGAGAGTAAGCCAATTGTCGGGGACAAAGATTAGAATGATTCATCAAGAATTAATGTGGATGTTTTCAGAATCTTGATGAGGGGTTTATGAAGTTTGAATTGTGAATACGACAGAAGAGGGACTAGATGAGAATTTGGTGTTTGAAGAACTGTGTGGAGGGGACAATAGTTGGCCAAAAGGGTAGGCTTGTAATTAGGTTTTGAAAAGGATGCTTTCATTGTCTTCTTCTGAATAATTTTGGTTAATAATATAAATTGATATTTCGAATCGATCAAACCACTTTTTAAACCTATTAGGAACACTGCCCAAACAAGGTTTTGGAAACCTGCTTTCTTTGCCCCCAAACCACTAAAATTTCACCAATTTCATGTGAATAAAAGCAAGATGCCAACTGGTAGCATTACCATTTCCTTACTATACTTTTTGTTCTATGTACGCACAACGATGGGTTCACATGTCGATAGGTAGATTGATTCCGATGGCTGTCTTTAAGTGTCAGCGTGTATCAAACAGCAGAATACGTCAAACAAAATATTTATTAAAAAACGTGTGATGCGAAATGATTTAAGCCAACAAACAATTTATTTACACAAACAATCTCTTACAACATTGAAACAAGTGAGCTATGATCAGGTGAAAGACGCAAAGACAAATAACGGGGACCAACCATAACCAGGTCGGAGGGTAGGAAGAGAAGAAACAAGTTTACTTTATTCGAATTCTAGTCTTCCCATACAAGTTGCAGCGATGTCTAATAGTTGCTGCAAGCACATATACAGTGACTAGGTTACCCGGCCCAACTAGTGCATCAGTGCAACCGCAGCTTCTTGCACAAATGGCTGAGTCACGTGCACAAAATGCTCAGCTTCGCGCTCCACCTGCTCCCAACACCGGTGCACGTCCTTCCCTTCCCTCATCTTCTTTACAAATGCAACAAACCGCCTCCAGTTATCAGGTTGGAACAAATCTGGGTTCATCCTCAAATATGTAAATGCACACATCTCCCTATCATCTGCATCGCCATCAACATTCAATGCTGCGGCTTGCATGATCTGTTCGTGCGCATAGTCATCATATCGGGGCAGTGCATTCTCCCCAGCAAGTGGAACCTTAGCTTCGCGAGTGGCTAAAGCTACTTGCTTCACTAGTTTTTCTGGGGCACATAAAGCATCCTGTGGTTGCTCGTGGTCTCTCATCTCAATACAAGTGAAGTTGAATATAGCACCATGTCGTGCCAACATCTGGGCAATAGGAAGATACCCATCTCGGAAACGGGTGTTGTAATACCCGGCAGTGAGTTCTGGGGCATGTGACCGGGTTCCATAATGCCAGTGGATTCCAGCAATCTTAACAGATATCTTGACACCCTCATTCTCGAATATACTCTTGACCGATTGCAGTATCCTCTCACCATGGTCCAAAAGCATCTGAGAGTACCAAGAGAGGAAAAACTCCCCATATTCACCATCCCAACCACCACCCTCTTTCCGGAAAAAGTTCGTATCCTCAGGCCAGTTGTTATAATGGCCAGCATCTGTCGGGCCAGTGTAACCCCATTCAGGCTTACCATATGCTTCCGCTGCAGCTTTTAAGCTACTGAGCATGTACTGCAGAATGACACGGGTAATTTAAGCACAGGAAAGAAATGTTTCAAAATCAAAAGAAGGAATTTGAAGGCACAGACTCGGACTTACCTTGTCATAGCACTGAAATGCTCCTATTCCAGGAAATTTCCAAGTTCCGTTTTGTTCAGGGTACGAGGGATAACGAAGCTCTCCGGCTGGACCCATCCCAACTTGAATTTCCTAAAACAAGGAATAAAAAATATTCAAATCACACTATTGACAATGGCATAACAAGTAGACTACATTTTCCGAACACAAATAAAACATATAGGTCACACTTGAAATATAAAGAATACTTACCACAATAGTATCACCAAGGAGGTGCTCAAATTTGTCTTTGAAAGATCGCATGAAGTCAGAATAACACTGGACAGGTGTCCTTCCCTTCAGCACCGGGAGGGTATCACAACCAAGTGAGATATATTCATAATTCCTCCTACCCCACTGGTCTGTATACGCAAGCTCAGGATCCTTGTCAATCTCGTCCACTACCCATTTTGGCAGAGGAATTCTGAAAGAGTAAATGAAAACGACGTTAAAAACAACAACATTGAGATGTTAACATTGGAAAGAATAACAATGATGTGATACTTAGCTGTTCACCTTTTCTCTTATTTAACTAACTCCAGTTTAGAGTTAGAGATACAGATGCCATTACAGTTCACTTTTTCATTCTTTCATTATTTGATTAAAAAACTCTTTAGCCCTGTTTGATTGCAAACTTTTACATAAAATATGTCACGTCCGAGAAAAATGAATTCCACTTTGACTTGATTACAACGTGGAAATTCTGAATTCCAGTTTCTATTTTCCAACTAACATGGAATTGAAATTCCTTCCCACATTTCCCTACCAAACAGATCCTTAAAGGAAGCATTAAATTCCTTCTCATAAGTCAATAACTTCATTACAAAATCTAGTATTCTTATGAATTCTGATTGTCATGTTCGTTGTAATTCCGAATTACTCAAAAGTTTATGATTCAACATTATTCTAGACAAGGATGTTCTACTACTCAACCCTTATTCACCTATTTTCACCCTTTTACCAAACCCCACAAGCCCCACTGCCACCTACATCTTTGGAACAATGAAAAAGAATACAAAAGGTATAATTTGACTTTTTCCACCAACCAAATCGAGATCTCAAAAATCCCACGTGAAACCCATCAAAATTCACGCAGAACCACACTGTAATCTTCTCTTTTTCCAATAAAATATTCCTGAATATTCAATTACTAATGAATTGAAAAAACAATTGATTGAACAGTTGGGAGTAAATTAATTCAAATATTCAATGTACTTATACTTACGTGCAAGAGTCGCCGACGTTGCCGCCGCACTGGTGGAACGACATCACTGCCTGCACTTTCAGGCCATGTTTCTTTGCCATCTCCAGGAGCTCGGTATATCCGCCCCAATTGTACTCACCGGGCGCCTCCCTCTCCACCAACCCCCACCACACGTCCATCATTATCCCCTCCACACCGGCACTCTTCAACGCCTGCAAACTCGCATTCATCGCTTTTTTCCTATTCACCGTATGATTCCACGTTACACTATCCAACGGCATCATCACATACACCGGAACCCCCTTTTTACCCACTTTTTCCAACGCGCCTCCGCCCACAGTATACTCTCTCTCATCTGTACATTTCTCCGTCGTAATCGGAGAATCCATCAAGGCTTGCGCCGCCACCGTGAGGTCCGCCCTCATGCCGCCACGAATGGGACTCAATGGCGGAGATGGCGACACACGGTCAATCTCCGACCCGGTTTTTTGCACCGATACCCGTAAATTAGGACCAGGTGTTCTCCACACCGCGCTGACGGTAGCCGACGCCGGTGCTTCAACAGAAACACCACCCACCTCCGCTGCTACGGACGTCCCAGAAATCGCTCCAATCTGATGAGGCAAGCTCATTGCCATAATATACGAATTTGACTACAAAGAAATTTATCCAAAAATTAAGAAAAAATTTGTCGATATCTGTTCTGAGAATGAGAATAAAATGAACTCAGGGGTCGACGCTATTATATAGAGACCCCTGAATTTTCTGAACGATAAGATTTTCAAAACTGTGAACCTTTATTTACATGACACGTGTCGATATTTAGGCGGTCGCAGAGGCAACGGCTACGATTTATTCGATTCACGTGAAGGGGACAGTGATTGGCTTGCTCGTGAAGGTTCCAGTGAGGACGCGCTTAGAGTGGTCTGACCAATGAGAAGATGCAACGTGGCCATACTTGACCGGCCGACAAGTTTGGACCAGGGGATCGGTTTTGGCGTTTTGCTCTAGCATCCAGAAAAGGAAGTAAAAACTAAAAAGTGACAAGTGGCGAATTGGAGGGTAAATTGGTAACTCGGTTATTCGCAGGAGAAATGTATAAGTACAGGAAAATTACCACATATTTTTCACGCGAAGACAGCTGAAATCTGTGGAAATTTCCTGTGTTTGTAGATTTATAATATTTGTAAAGGATCTGCTACACGGACGAGCCACGTAGTACATACCCCTGCCAAACGTGGTGGACGGACAAGGCCAATAGAAAAACACATCCTTAAAAGATCAATAGCATTCTTAACGGCCTCCACCTGCCTTGCCCTGGACCTTGATAAATGAGATAAATAACAGATTATTCATCCAAGAGTACAAGTGAAATGCTGCTCGTACACTTACACTTACTCAAGAGCCAAATCTATATTTCAAGATTCGAACTCTTGAAGCGACAACCTCAAACAAAGTTGGAGTTTTTTCACCTTTCCATTTTACTACTGGAGATGTGCCATAGGGGCAACACATCCATAAATAGCGTGATATGCGGAATCAGTTAAAGAAGGCCTATTCCCCCGAGCCAAGCTCTTTCTAGCATATATTCCTCCTTAATTAATAATTTAATTATAAATATACATCTTGTTTGAGTCACATTATTTTTCCAAGAATGCATTTTAAATAATATTTTGATGGAAAATATTTGGTTAAAAAATTTAAAAAAAAAATTGATTTGCGTATAATATTATTTATTGAAGAATATGGTTGAAAATAAGAGAGAGAAAAATGTATTTTACAAGAATGAGTATCAAATATGGTGATAATTTTTTTATACTTTTCCTAATATATTTCTACGTTAGATAATAATTTAAGGGTTATGTTATATGTACCGAATTTTTATACACCCCACTCACATTAGGAGGTGGAGACTACAAGCTGAAATTTTTAAATACACATGGGGCCCGCGAGCATTGTGAGAGGGGGACACCATTCGGTACATTTAGACTAATTCATAATTTAAATAGGAGTAAATTATACCCTGTCTAGGATCCATTAAAATGAATTTTTTTGAAAAAAAATGTATTTTAAAATAGTAATTTTTTGTAAGATATGTGTTTAAAAAATAAGAAAATGTTTTGAGTTTACGTATCACATTATTTAATAGAAGTATGTTTTATTGAAAATAAGTTTTGAAAAAAATACATTTCTAAAAAACATGGATCCCAAAAATGAGCTATATTTGTTGATAACAATACACATTAAATATGTGCATATTTAGATTTTAAAACGGCTTGCAGTAACGAACCCAGTACAAAAGTTCAGTACGGACGGACTAAATGTGTTGATCGTTGATCATTGACCGTCGACAATCAATGATAGCAAGAACGAGATCATTTATTGATATTGAATTAAATAATATTAAAAATTATTCAATATATATGTAAATGCACTAAAACGTAATATATATGAAAATATAATTCAATACAATCAAAAATCATCTCGTAAGTATGTCATCATAACATCATCTCTGATATTAGGATCATATGACTCGACATGGGGATGTTTCCCTGGATCAGAACAAGAACATCCACATTAAATTGAGCCCGATACTTCTTTGTGTTATTTAACAATTCATGTGCTCGACTAGTAGTGGTGGAACTAGTGCACAGCTAGAAGTAGAAGAATTAGGTATGAACTTCCGTTTCGGTTGAAAAAATGTTTCAATTAAAACGGTATCAGTTTAATAAGTAATAAATAGTTAAAACTTAAAATCACTCCAACAATCCAACACTCGTTACACTCCAACTGTCTAGTCCGACAACATGCAACATCTAGCATCTTGACAAACCACAAATTCATCCATAGTTTTCACTTTTCACTAATCATTAATTAGTAATCACTATTCACAAGTTACTAGTGTAGAATATAATTCACAAAACGAAGTCACGTCAACTCATATTTCTCTCATTGTAAAACTGTAAAAGGTTAGAGACGAGCTAGCCTATCACTAATGGGTGAAAAATTGAAAATTGAAATGCTAATCTTCTTTCGAGGAGAGGGGTTCTTCATAAATATTTAATTACATAATATTAAAAAATATTCAATAGACATGTAAATGCTAATTTGCTTAATTCTTGTTGTTTTCTTCAAATTCATAAATGTATTCACAATTAAAAAAAAAAAAAAACTGAAATAGAAACGAAAAGCCGAGAAGAAAGGCCCAAAACTTTTTTTAAAAAAAAAAAAAGGCCCAAAATTTTTTGAATACCCAACTCTCTTAGTCCAAAACAAAAGGGCAATTTAATTTTAAAAAAAGGGCCCAAAGGCCCAAAACTGAAAATATGGTCTTTTTCTTCCCTTCTTCTTCTCGTCTCGTCTCCTCTCTACAACAGCACCCAACGCTCGACGGTATTGAAAACTCCGACGGATTTAGCACGAGCTGCCGTGCACCCTTGTCGGGTGCTGGATCAGTCCCTAACTGCTTGAATAATTCATAAAAGCTTCTAAGTCATGCTACCAACATATGATCAAACTATGTAAAACCGCAAGATGTTCCTCATAATTAATATTAACCAACATAAAAAGTCGAGGCGGTGACAAAGAGTAACTTGTTATTTTCAAAGACTAGTCGCTTTATTTTCTTGAGAGTTAACTTGAAAAAATGTTACTCTCTGAGTCTCTGTCTCATAAAGATAGACTTTCTTTCTTTTTTCGCATGTCCCAAATTATAGGTCACTTTCCTTATTGAGAGTATAGAGTTTCGAGATATTTTTATAAGTGTATTTCATATGCTTATAAACTTGATAAATATTTGAAAATTTAGAAGAGTTCTACTTTATTTAAATTAGTGTAAATATTAAGGTTTCAAGTAAAACCCGAACTTGAAGGTATTTAAAGTACAATGAAGATTTTAAACCTAATTGGAGTTGATTCGAAGCAATAACGACTAATCATATTGTGAAGAATTGACAAAAAGCATTAAGAGAACAATTGAAGAGGACCAAATTTGGATTATTATGCAGGTTTAGGGACCAACTTGGAAGCTTATAGAAGTTGCGAGATCAATATTGAAGATTTGGATAAAAAGGATAAAACTATATGAAAAACTTGAAGTAGTGACCCAAATGTAAAAATCTCAAAGTTAAAGGAGGTTACTGAGTATGCAATTCACGGTCACAATCGACCTTGTTTTCCGTTGGTTAGATCGTTGCTTTCATTTCCCGCGCTCATGTTGTTGTTTGCATGTCGTGCATTCAAACTGTTGTTGAGCCATCTTTCACATTCTGGTTTAAAAAAGGTAAAGTCAACAAACATGAACTAGTTGGTTTACGGACAAGCACTTGTCATCTGTTTCCGAAAATGACTCGTCATCTGTTTAATTCTTCAGCAAAGACTTAACGATGACTAGCCTTAACGGGCTCTAGTGAGTCCCAAGGTGCACACAGTCGATTAGTTAAATGTTTATCCAAGACCAGATCCGATTGGAAGGAGCTAGATGATGGAGACTATCAAAATGCTCTGAAAGACCTCTCTAGAATACCCGATCATCTACAGCGAATTATTTTGAAGTTTGATTGAGTCCTCTCACTTGCTAAGAACCTCAATTGAGTCCTCTAAGTTATTTTGAACTAAAATTGGGGTCCTACAAATAAATTTAAAGTTCGATTGAGTCCTATGAATTGTTTTGAACTTCAATTGAGTCCTCCAAATTAATCTGAACTTCAATTAGATCCTCCAAATTAATCTGAACTTCAATTGGATCCTGACGCTGATGTAGCTACATTTCCCAATTTGTCAAGTACACTATCGACTACAGATCCCATTATCCCCCATAAATAGAAGATTCGTAATCCTAATTCCTACGGGAATACAATTTAGTTTATCTATTCCTATTTGAACACTTTCAATTAATCATGTCTTTCTTTGATAAAAATCAATACAATCCTTACAAGGCTCCCCAATTTTCACTGATTTTTACAAGATAATAATGGGATTATTTTTGGCCTTTCAAGGGCATGACTTTTAAGGCGGTTCAGCGTTGTATAAAGATCTATTCTAGGTCAAATACGAAGGTTACGCGTGAAAAAAAAAAAAAAAAAGATCAGATAAGATAAGATACAATTGAGAAGAGGAAGAAAAAAAAAAAAAGGTTTCAAAAACTTGACGTAAAGTAGTTGTATTCTTGATGCAAGATCATTTTTTCTCATTTTTCCTTTAAAGCCAGTTATGTACTTCAAAACTCTTTTGTACATTTTTTCTATTACGAGGTTAACTAAATCAAGGTACAATGGGTTGGCTCAATTAAATACGATCGATTTGAACTCGAGAGAGATGAATTGATTTAATTATTACATTCAACCGAATACAATTTTAGGAATTGAACTTAAGAGGCAAGATTAAAGATTATACTATGGTGAAATCGTAGTAGGAACACTATAACCATCATATTGAATAGTTTATCATCAATTCAAATAAACACTTTCCTATAATTTTTTTCTTAGTTAGTCATGTTTGATATGGATTAAAATCTGAATTTTAATTTAAACCAGAGTCAATAATTAATTTAACACATGTTTCATGGATCTCACAACTTTTCAACCATACATTTCATCAATTTTTATTAAAATTTACTGGTCTTGATCCTAGT